AAGAAGAAATCCAAAGGTCCAAAACAACCTGCACTGAATTGGGCCGATTTGTTGCCCCCTCCCCCTGAACACCCTCCTCCTACTGACATTGACGAGACTCCTCCGGGATCACCGCAGTACCACATTTTAGGGTCACCAATTCCGTCGCAGTATAGCGTGAAATCGTCACAGGGATATCAAACTGATCCACATGATGAAATTGCATCCCTAGTGCCATCTCATCGATCACACGGATCAGTCGTTAACCGACATCATTTACAAGGGTCGAATCACAGTACGCCAAACCCAACACCTCCAACACGCCGACACCCTGATTGTCACATGGGGACTGAAATGCTATTGCCTGGATCAATGAGGAACGATCACGGAATCTACCGAGATAATTCATCTGATAAAACATCACGTAGTAAAAAAAACTCACGAAATGGGCCGACTCACCATAATACGAACCGAAGCGGCTCATCGCATCGGGATATGAGAAATGATCCAGAGTGCCATGAACTTTGCAATTCATTGCCGTTACAGAATTGCGAGTCGGCAATAGAGACTGACTACACAGGACAACGAGGACGGACCGCCAGATGAGCATTTGATGCCCATGCTGCCAGCACGGCTAGAAGACACCCCACATGGCCCTGGACTCTGTATAGATTTACGGCCGTCTGATCACATGATGTATTCAGAAGTGTCTGATGAGGATACGTCGGCTAAAGAAGACGATCCAGAAGAAATTGATGGAGACACAGAGAGTAATTGTACAGGTAAAACATTTTTTGGTTATTCTATTTTTAGTATGTTGTCCACAAAGACGACTGTCAGTGTCAACTTTATGTTATACATATTGCTTTGATATTTTGCAAGAATCGTCATTGTGTGATTCTTCCTCAGATTTGTTTTTTTCATGATTTGAGTGAACATTTTTCATAACAAATTCTATTTTTGACTTTTTGAAAATGGCAAACCTGATTGCATAGGCAAATGCCTTGGGTGGACTTTTTTCAGATTTGGTCATTTTATTATGATAATTTGAATTGGATCAGTGCTTTCAGACTATGCATCCGGGAAGCTATATCAGCTAACAGAGTTTTGTGTTTAATTTTCTGATTGTCAGGAATGGTTTTCGAAAATTCTACTGTATTTTGGATATGGTAATTGATTGGATGTGCGTGCAGTTTTGCATATTAATCTTTTTAAGTCAATTATCTATGTATAATGACTTTCATAAGGTCATTATAATGCTTTCAGTCGGCAACCATATTTTCAAGCAAGCATTTCAGTGTTCTTCATCAACTAATTAAAAAACAAACAAACAAAAAACAACAGAAAATCTGTTGATAGTTTCTGCTACTGTGCTTTTAATGAAAAATTTTTCATGAACGGTTGTACAATAATGTATGACCTGCATTAACATTTTTTTTGAATCATTTTCACCTTTGTGTTTAGTTGCGATGTACTCAATTGTGAAAACAAAATGTTAAATCTTTGATTTAAAAAAAAATTACAAGTAAGATGCAATATTATATTTAAATAGATTTGCTACGAAAAGAAATCAATCAACCCCACTCAATCACAATACTGGGCTTTCTGTAGTTGCTCTTGTTAAAACAATTATATCTGACTGAGTCATGTTACATTGCTCCCAGGTTCAATGATGGCATCGTGGGCATCGCTGGATGGAAGCAGTGGTACAAGTGTGAGATGTAGCGCAGCGAGTGACACGTCAGATGGTTCGTTCTTCAACGATGCTGACTTCGCGAGCGCTGTGGCTGCAGCAGCTGAGAGTGCCGGCCTTAAAGTAGAAGGAACCAAAGTTATCGATCCGAGTCGTGGGGGTACGTAGAACGGTTGATTACTCATAATTATTTTACTTTTGTTTTTGCTTACCAATCTCGAAAATACAGTATTTGTAATGCAGCTGAAATATTTGATTACCGTATATTCAATACATTAATTTGGTGCTGTATGTATTTCTCTTAGGTAACAGGAGGCTAACTCCTGCACAGAGGGCTGTACAAAGATCAGGGAGCCCACTGACAGATAGCGATAGCAATGCTGGTGGTAATCACAAACAGAAATATCACAGAAAACAACCACATGATCTGCAAAGAAATATAATGAAACCAATCGTAGCAGCTAAAAATGGTAAGTCCACCATTTTATGTTTAATTAAATGTTTGACTTTTACCATAAATTAAAATTTAATAACAACAAAAACTAATCATAAACTTTTCCTGTAGTTTGATTTGATTGCTTAGTTCTGAGAATTTTTATCTTTTAATATAAGCAAGTTTTTGGTAAGGATGGCTGCCATTTTGAATCACATATTGGTTAAAAGCTGCCTTATTATGACGTCAAAGTAAATTATTTCTCTGATTAGCTTTATTTTAGCTGAAAACATTTTTATCGAAAATGACAAATTCAATTTATACAGTATATCTAATTCATTTTCATTAAATTCTTGCTTTTCTGATTTTTTGGAAAAATACTGAAAAA